GTTCAAGGTTTGACGAGCTGACCGTTGTATTGTGGTTTAAACGGTTTCTTGTTGTTTCTTAACATCTTCTCTATGCAACTCGTCCTAGTTTCCGGATACTTCAACTCGTCCTAGTTTCCGTTTGAATTCGCTCGTAAAGTTCTTAAAGAGTACTTGCCATACTTATAAAGCTGACATGCATACCTCTTTGCAGGGAAAGATCCCTTTAATAGGCTGTGGTGGTATTAGCAGGTAACCATTAGTAGGCGACATTACTCGCCATTATCACCATCGTTCGTTGCTGTTATTAACATCACTATCTATTTGCACCTCCATTGTTAACTCGAATTATGCATCCAATGCAGTGGGGAGGATGCATACAAAAAAATAAGAGCCGGAGCAACGCTTGTCCAGCTCTATACAGCATTTGCATATGGAGGCCCTGCCTTAATTCCCCGAATAAAGGTATTCTCAGTATCCGACACTCGGGTACGAGTCCGAGTAACACGATGCTTTTGTTGAATGTTTGTATTGTGATTCCGAAGACGATGGCATTTTTTCCCGCAGGCTGAACTTGCTGAGTGCCTAGAAAGGGATGGTTTCAAATCCAGCCATGAAGCTGTTGGTGCTGATTGCAGATAATATAATTAACACCCTGCCTTGAACCAAATAACTTTCATCCTTGTGACCTGGATTTAATATTTTATCCATGATTTGGTCACGCTTGTTTCATTTTCCATAAAATTCATCCTTCCACATTTCATCAGTTTGAGAGGGATTTGCCTGTACACCATGAGAAAACAATTTTGATATCATGTATCATGCAGGACTTATATGCAATATTTTTAGTTTTTCTAAAACTCAATTAAGTTCGTTAATTACTCAAGTCGAACATTATGATATTCGAATTTGATTACCTCAATCATTGGAATTGCTGAGTTTGAAGTCAACTCAATTAAGCTTGTTAACTATTTGAGTCGAATTGAATATGTTTGCTCGAGTTTTTGTTTAAATTTAATTTTATTTATAATATTACAGTGATAATTGATTTTAGCTTAAATGACTCACTAATTATATATATACATGTGGTAAGATTTGTAATGTTATTCAAATAATATTTAAAATTATAATATATTTTCAATATTATTTTTTAAAAGAATGAATTTTGTGGTTGATGGTAGTATAAAGAAGTTAAGGAATTGACGTGAAAAAAGAATTTGTAAAAATTTGTAGTTGGAAGATTGAATTAAACAAAATATAAAGTTCATGGATTAAATTGTAAAAAATAGAAAATTCATTGTAAAAATGATGAATTGAAGTAATAATATATAGCGGTTAAGAAAGATGTGGTTTAAAAGTGATGGATTTAAAACAAAAGAGGAATTAAAGAAATAAGAAAATTAAGATCAAATTACAGAACAACTAAATTACTTTTTAAATCAAATCCAATTTACTCATTATATCTTTATAATTTTTAAAAGGGTATATTACGCCATTTCTCACTAAACTCTACTCTCTCTCTCTCCTATTTTTCTCACACAACTTTCAATTTTAATTTGCTCCCTAGACTTTACAAATTGAATCATTTTGCTTACTCTGTCGTTAAATAGTTAACGACGTTATGACATGACACAAGCATCAAAACAATGACGTTTTGAAAAACTCAAATATACACCAAAACAACGTCGTTTTGAATCCTATATTCAAAGTACGGTGAGTAAAATAGGAGAGAGAATAAAGTTCAGTGAGGAATTGTGTATTTTATCCTTTTTTGGTTCTCTTCTTAGTTTTCTCTTTGTCGGCTGCCACATCATTTTCATTTCAACCACCGTCCACCGTCATTGAGAGTGGTTGTTCGGTCTAAAATTTCATGGGTCGGTTTTTTTCAACCCCCGAGTCTGAATCTAGTAATTGTTTCACTAAAAAAAATGACCAAAAACCCGTGAATTTGGACTGAATGTTTCGACTTCCTCACTTTCAATCTCAAATTCGTGGACTTCGGAACAAGTTCCGACAAAATGTAGGTCGAATACGGACTCAAGGTGTCGAGGTGAAGTGACCGATGAAATTTGGGCCTGAACGACCACCATCTACGGTAGTCGACAGTGTCCGACGATGACATTCAACTATCTTTTATTTTTATTTAATATTTTTAATTATTTTATATTAAAAATAATTTTAAAAAATTCCACATCATCCGGATGTTAGAGAGAAAACGAAGGAGTGAGAAAAATGATTCAATCTGTAAGTTTAGTGAGCAAATTGAGCAAATTAAAAGTTGGCTGAGGCAAATATGAGAGAGAGTATAGTTTAGTGAGAAATGGTGTAATTTACCCTTTTTAAAAAGATGATATTTTATTATTTATTAAATTACAATTACAATTTAAAAAAATAAAAATAAATAAATAATTGAATTTAAAATCTATCGTAGAACAATATTATTAGAATTTGAAGTTTATACTCAGAAGAAGATTTGAAATTAAATTAAGGCTATGCAATTGGCCTTGCACAGTCTCCAGTAAGAGTAAAATTGACCCAATAGGTTAACTGGGTAAAAAAATTAACCCATTGAGTTATCTCAAAGTTAATTTGGGATATACGATATTTGCTATAGTGATCTGAAACTTGTCATGCAGACATGATGAATTTTAATAAAAATACATTTTTTATTATAATTTATCATTATATTGTGACAAATTCCAATAAAAATTATATTATTGTTGAAATTTGTCACTTCAACGTGACAAGTTTAAATAAAAAATATTATTGAAGTAAACTCGTTATGTGAGCGTGATGAGTTTTTCTTACACTATAACATTTATCGTAGATGTCAAATTAATTTTTTGAATGATCTAATGGCTATTTTTTTTTACCTGCGTGACCTATTGGATCAAATTTACCCTATATTGAGTGCGTATGGACCCTAAACAACAACCTCCAACTGAATAAATTAAATTTAATTGAATTAAGGGTAAACTATGTAGATAGTTGCTAATATTTAGGGTTTGAAAAATTAATGATCGCTAACGTTATCGATTCATTCAATTTTAGTTCTTCAGTCATGAATTTTCGTTAACCCCTTTTGTTTAAGTCCCGAACATGGTTGAGGGACTAAAATCGAATGAGAGTTAACGGTTGAGAGATTAAAATCAAACGTATCGATAATGTTAGGACTAAAATCGGACGGATAGATAACGTTAAGAACTATTCCCTCTTAATTTTTAAATTAGTGACCAAAGTCGGTCAAACCGAAAACATTGAAAATTATCTACATAGTTTACCCTTGAATTAAATATGGGATACGTACCCTTAAATGAAAGAAATAAAACATACTAAAAATATGGTATAACCCTAAACTATCTGCATAATGTTTGGGGCCAACATAAATTTAATTTCCCTTCAACATAAATAAGTGGCCCAACTACAAGGGAACATGCCCTTTAATCAATATAATAAGTTTATTGTACTTTATACATTTTATTTTATAATTAGTATTTTATTTTGTAGCAATCCTATTTTCAATATTATCATCTAATCTTAGTATGTAACAAGAAAATATGTTGATAGGATCGGCGTGACATATTTGATATATTTATAAGAAAGGCATTCAATGTGGGGGACCCCTTTAATTATTGGGGTCGTGACTAGTTTGTTATAAAGTAAATTAATACATCACTTTTTGAATGATTTTTGCACTCATCATTTGGACCGACATATCCGTCATGATTCCAATTGTTCTTTTGGGTAAACTATATATTTAGTATCTAAACTATTAGTTTTAATCTGTTTTAGTACCTAAACTTTCAATTTTTTCAAAACTATATCTAACATTTAATTTTCATTTCATTTTAGTTCCCGCCGTTAAAAACTTAACGCGTTTAGTACTTAAACTACCAGTTTTGGTATGTTTTAGTATCAAACTATCAGCTTTGGTATGTTTTATTACATAAGCTTTTAATATTTTCAAAACTTAATGTTAAATTTTAAACGGGGAACTAAAATTAACAAAAACTAAAGTTTTTAACGGCAGGTACTAAAATGAAACAAATACTAAACTTTAGGTATGGTTTTAAAAAAATTAAAAATTTAGGTAGTAAAATATATCAAAATTGATAGCTTAAATACTAAACACGTAATTTACCCTTTCCTTTTTCAAGGAAACTGCAGTTTCTTTCACCGTTTGATCCGTTGGAAAAAAGAATAAACACAGTCACCATCTCACTTGTATCACAAAAATGCTCAAGCCATGGCCTTGCATGGAATTCACCACGTATTTACTCATTAGGAAACTTATCTCGCAGTTATTTTTCCACATTCGGACCGACAACGTGACTGCTGTATCCGACTCGCACTCGAATCGAATGAATCGATAAAGTTTCAACAATCTGTGTATCTTTCGAAGCGAACCGGCTACTAAAAACATTGTCTATACTCTATAGCACTAGTTCTTACTAGAGACCTTCGAATACCATGTTCGACAGGACGATCGAGCTGGTTACGGAAGAAGAACGGATAAAAACCGAACACGAATCGAGCATTGCGTTTTGGGAAGATAATTGAGTAGCTGAAGCAAAATTAAGCGCAGATGAAACTGGGAAAAACAGATGGGTCTTATTCACACGATAGGCACCCAAATCAATCCAACTTACATAAAGAACACATTATTTGCACTCTGATAAATATCTAAGAAATGGCTAAGAATACAGCTAATAATTGTCCAAAACAGGGGTCTTACAGAGAGCAGCCTGTGCTGGAGCCGGAGCCGGAGCCGGAGCCAGAGTCGTTTTTTTTTGCACAGCAGTCTGCCATCATGCAACCGGTGTTGACAGTGAAACCAGGCGAGAGGGCTGGATCAACCGATGTCCGTGGCATATCACGAGCTATAATGTTCAAACCTAAGCTATCCCGGATAGCAGCATAGACTAGTAATTCCCAGACACCATTAGCAAGAAGTGTTATTCCAGCACATTCAGGGAGAACATAAATCCATAGATGCTGCAAACCCAACTTAGAGTGAATCTCGGGTTGTCGGCATCGGTAACCCGATATCAACCAGATCGATTCGAATGCTGACAATGCAGTCTCAACGTGGGAAATGAACCTCCACGGTTTCTTCTCCGAACCGGACAAATATGAGCAATTCCTTGCACAAAATCATTCTCATAAACAATTTCTTTGGAGAATTAGTCACCAAAACCCTAATTCTTGACTCTCTCCCCTCCAAGCATAAACCCTAAAACCCTAAAACAATTGTGAATGCTCTGGACCCTAATTGATCGCAAAATAAAAGTGCTAAGGAAAAACCCTAATTTGAATCACATTCATCATTCCATAGGCCAAATTATCCACCTCAAAACCCTAATTCCCTAACCGTAAAATTCCAAACACACAACAAAAGCAACAACCATGCACGAATATTTATAATATATATACTCCCAACAAACAATAGGGTAAATGGGCCACCAAAATTCAACGCGGATCCTCGTCTCTCCGGCCCGATTCCCCCGGAGCACCGGACAGCGAGGCTAGTAAATTTAGGTGACCGGGAAGATAATTGCCGACCCTCGCCGCCGATGCTTCTCCCATCGCTTGCTGTTGCTGAACGAACAACGCAGCAGCAGCAGGACCATGTTGCTGAGCAGCCGTCTGCACCAACGTATCCGGCGGAGGCGCGAAGCTCCACAATTGACCAAAGTCGTGTCTCGTCGGAAGAGCCCAGAACCCACCTGTATGCGTCCCCGCGGGTCCCACGAAGGACCCCAAGCCCGATCCGACGGTGAGCCCACCGGAATCGTCCTTCCCGGAGTTATCGTCTTCATACCTGACGCGTTTCCCGAGCATAAAAGGGGTGGGCCCCAGTAAAGGCTTATGGTCCAAAGCGGACGAAGAGGTGGTCGACGACAAGGAAGTGGAATTAGATCCGCCGCGGACGGAAACGGACAAGGTGGAGAAGCTGGCGGGAGTGGTCCCGGTGCCGGTGGCGGCAATGATAGAAGGCTCGGCCTGACGCAACAACCACTCGATTGTCTGACCGTCGGATTTATGACCCAACTCGCGAGTCAACTGGAAGACACGAGCGGCACAAATGATGGGCATCCTGATTCTCCTTCCACGACCATCGACTTTGCTGTGACGGTCCTTGGTGGGAGGCTTTTTAACGGCGATGGAACCATTTTTCGGCGGCGCCGTCGCTCCGTTTGTGGCGGCACCCTGTGAATTCGACATGGGGGCGAGCAAGAGCAGCCTACTACCGCTCTCTTTGCACTGAAAGCTTCACTTTGTACAGACTGGAAAAGATTGTTTCTTTGTTGTTTGGGGTTATTACTGGTGAAAAGATTAATGGACAGAAACCAAGAGTCTTCAGGGAAGATGGATTGGGGAATCAGATTTTTTCTGTACAAAGAAGATGGTGTTTCATGTTTGAGCCTTGAGGGAGAGGGAGAGAGAAGACCAAGGTCCCAATGATTGAGAAGCAGGGGCTGGTGGAGACATGAGGAAGGGCACTTGGGTGGTGGGCCCCTTTGTACACAGGGCCACAGCTCTACCCCTCCGCCTTTATTTTCTCCGTAACGGCGGTAAACCGGTTAGATAAGTTCGGGTATTAGTGAGTTCAGTTTAATTCGAAAAGTTTTAAATTAAGTTCAATTTAATTTAAAATTTTATAAGTTTTATATATTAAGTTTGACTTAAATTTAAAGCTTAAACTCAAATATGAATTTTAAATATTTGAAATTATACAAATTGTAGGAATTGGGTTGAATCGGATAAAGACATCAAAGTACGTATGTTAATTTTATGTTTTATAACTCAATAAATATATATTTAAAATTTATATTTAACCATTTAAAATTACTATATCTCTATATATAATCTCTTATATATATATATAAATAAATATATAATTATTATGATGTCTCTCTATATATTTTCAATTGTCTCACTATATCGTTGAATAAAAATGAAAAAAGTATTCATATCTACTTGAAACATAATTTTATCCTAAAATTCATGGTGGATTCAGGGCGTGTGAAATATCACCAAATGTAGGGGCTTCCTCGCCCATGTAGGGCGTTGAAAAAAAAATTCTCTATATAGGGCTCTAACCAAATTATTTCTTGAACTGGGGTGTTTGCTACAGTTACCTCATTGGTCGCCAAGTGCTCCATAGTCGCCAAGTGCTCATTGCGACAAAGCCTCCTCTGTTGCAGCAACTCTTCCCTCGCTGTTGCAGCTCTTCTCTCGCATGCATGGCCCATGCACGCTAGGTAGGTCGATGTGTGCTCCTGGAGACCTATGGAGATCACTGTAGCAATCACCCTACTTAAACAAATAATTGTTCGACTGCACTATGTGAAGAATTTTTTTTCTCATTGCATTATTCAACCACTTTTGCCAAATGTAGGGGTAAGTAGGATAAAAAATCATTATTCAGACTTAATCTCAGATAACTAGTATAATTTTTCTGTGCATATTTAGAGATAATTATTGTAATATCTTGTATATATTTCTCAATTATCTCCTTATATTATGAATAAAAATGAAAAGAAAATAATTATTCGTATGGGATAATGTTTAATGGAAGCTTTTAATTTTTAGATTGAGACCAGAATAATTAAAAAATCGATTTCCTCTCATCCTATATCCATCCTTAATTCTATCTCATTTTTTGATCAAATGGCAATTCATATCTTTATAAGTTTTAAATATTAGATAATTCAGTACTTATTTTTAAATTTTAATTTTAATATTTAATTATTTTTATATTATAAATCAAATAATTTAATCATACATGTTTATGTGTGCACTCCCTTCTCCTTTGTGACTTTGGGAAATAACCAAACCATCAATCATAAGTTTGTTGTGGGGAATTGATGTACTTCAAGGCACAAAAATGCTATTCCCTTAATTTGATTGATTAGATGTTTTATTAGGACAAAATTGCAACATTTCCCCCTCAATTCATGGCTATAGGTAGTATGTTAATCAACGCTAATCATTATTATGGTAACACTAGCGGATTTATATATTATTAAGAGACGGCCGGTTCACTGAACATAAGATTATTTTTAGAAATAAGATTTTGTGATGTAAAATTACATGGTATATTACTGAGAATGTTATACTACTTTTTTTGGTTTGTCTGGCAAGATTATAATGTTTGATTATAAAAATACGAGATTACTTGAATACATATTTTACTAAATTGTTCTTGTGGCATATTTATTTTAACAAGTTAAACTTTCAATGTTGAATTAAAAATAAAAGCATAAAAATTTATAAAAAAAGATAGTGTCAACATCAATATTTTTCAACATATTTTTCCCAACACATGACATAGCATTTGAAAATAAAAGAATATTCTTATATAAAATTGAAAATATAAAAATTCAACGAGGGCAATTGACACTTTAATAAATTCACGAGACTCGTTATTTTATTTTACACTTTTTTTAAATTTATTATCAAAAATAAAAAATATACTAATAAATTATGGGCGTTCATTCTAATATTTTATTTATATTTATTTTATTTTTTAAAAAATATATTATTAATATAAAAATATTCACCATCAAAACATTTCTAAATCTAATTGATATTTTTTTTTACAAAAAAAAGTTTAGGTCAGGGGTGGCTTCTCCAATCCAAGGTCAGAGCGTACCTAAGACTCAATTGAGATTTATATAGGAATTTACAAATTGCTCACCAATAATTACGGTGGTAGGATTCAAACTTAACCTTACAAGTTCAAATTCTTGAATCTTAACCACTTGTAACAACCCTCGTTGATATTATTTAATTGATATTATTGTCATTATTATAATTTAAAAAAATATATACTTGAATAAATTCAAGCCTTTCAACAGTGTTTTGAAAATCGGACCGGATCGGTCGGTTCAACCGGGAACCGCTGCCTTGTCCGGTCCATTCTATCCCGGTTCAACCGGTTCTAGTGAACCGCAAGGAACCGTTCGAACTGGCTTTGAACCGTTTGAATCGGACCGGACCGTGAACCGGTTCAAGCTATTTTTTTTTATTAAATATTTTTGGTATTTTTATTTAATTTTTTAAATAATTATGACGTCGTCCGGTTCTTACGACTGGTCGAACCAGTAAACCGATAGTACAACCGGTACGCTGACCTGATCCGGTTCTGAAAACCATGCCTTTCAATTATCTTTCTCTTATAGTTAAGTTGTATCCTTTAGAATAGATTACCGTGGTCTTTAATAATTAATCATTATTTTTAGTGTGACAGGAAAATACACAAAATATTTTATCATATAAAATAAGAATTTGATTATCATAAAAGGATATTGCAAACATGTCTACTTTCATCAATAAAATGCCAATTTTTATCAGTTAGAGAAGTATACATTTACAATTCAAAATTCTTGAAAATAAATCATGATAACTTGTATTCATTTTCTTTTAAAATGGTCATAAAATAGGAGTGAGAAGATAGTTGAGTGATGAATGATGTAATTTATCCATAAAAAAATATCATGTCATAATAATTTCGTTAAATTTTTAATGACGAGGTACCACAATGAAACAAAAGGTAAACATTAGACATGATTTTGAAATAAATAAAAATTAGGTACTAAAGCAAAATAAAATCAATAGTTTAGACATTAAACATATAATTTACCCTGTTTTTAGCGACAATGATCCTTGCGGAGTATGTATTGCCGTTGACGAGGCAGTAAGATTCTTGTAGTCGGGGACAGAACTACCCAAGATATAAATTAAGCTTTGAGATATAAATAATGTCTTTTAGTCAAGAGATTATTTGTGTAAATTTAGATTAATTTTTTTAATATAAAATACATTTTCTTGATATCATAAGTTATAATTTCATTAACAATTATAAGTGGTACAAATCCCAATGCTTAATTTACATATTGGGTAAATTACACAAATGGTTCATTGATTAAATGATATTATTTTATTGAGTCATCCAACTATTAAATATTATAAAACAGTCTCTCAATTATAGGATCAATTACAGGATGTTACTTTTTTGAATCCCTCAACTATTAAAAATTACAAACTGATCACCAAACTATTTATTATGTTCAAAACTTGTCACTTTCATTTAAAAATTAACGACAATCTAAATTGTATGTTAATTTGTCGTCTAAAAATATAATAGTCGTTTGAGATTTTAAAATCAAATTTTATAATATCTCAGACAATATATTAACATCCAGCTCAGACTGTCCTCAATTTTTAATGAAAAAGAACGAATTTATAATGTAATGAATAGTTAGATGACTATTTTATAATTTTTAATAGTCGATAAACTCAACAAAACAACATCATATATTAAGAATAATATTTTATCATTTTTAATAATAAAAAAACTAGACAAAACAAGAATCTATAATCGAAAAACCATTTATAAACTTTACCTTTATACTTTCACTAGTTATCTTTTTGAGTCACAACATAGATTTACATTAATGGGTCCCATGTAACGCGTTTTCCAGGACAAAAGTGAAAATATAATATAGTATAATATCATATAAATTATTATAATAAATAAATATATTTGATTAGCACACGAGGGGCATCGTAGTAATAGCGCGTTTTGGGCGTTGCTTCGATTACTTAACTTACAATTATTAGAATTAATTTATGGCTTTTAATTGATTATCTGTTGCCCTAACAACACACGCCGCCAGTCCTCAAATTTTTTGAGAAGTTTTAGGGACGCAACTGAAATCGATAAAAAGTATAATAATTTTTGACTAAACTATATAAATGGTCACTAAAGTTTAAGTAAACTTTTGCTTTTTCCACTGAACTTTCAAAAGTTACAAATTGATCATTATCGTTATCGATTTATAACAAATCGGTCACTCACGTTAACCTCCATCAATATAGGTGATAGAAAGTTGACTTGGAATGTTAACTGCTTACCTGGACCGTTTGAGTGTAATAAGGAATGGATGAAGAAGAAGTTTGACTGTTAACCGCTCCCATGAAGACATGGGGCTTTCGCTCTCGTCTTCCTCCTTCGATTCCGTGTTCACTCTTCTTCTTCTTCTTCTTCTTCTTCTTCTTCTTCTTCTTCTTCTTCTTCTTCTTCTTCTTCTTCTTCTTCTTCTTCTTCCTCCCCATTTCTTATTGCACTCAAACTCTCTCGTAAAGATTAAAACCCTACCCATTTCCTATTAGCTAAGTGTAATTTCTATGAATGTTGCTTTAGGAGATTCACTTATTGTTATGATTTTTGTGACTTCGATCTGCATGAAACTTGTGCTTTGCTTCAATTATCCATTGTTTTAGATTTCTCTACTTGTTTGCCTCATAGTATCATATATTTAATCTCTATGAGATTAAGAGAGAGGAATCACCACGGTTTTTAAGCAGAGAAGAAATAGAAGAACAGGAAGAAAAGAAGAAGCATTTCATGAAGCCATGGTTTTTAAGAAGAACAAGGAAGAAAATAG